CTTCAAAAACAGGAATTTTTGCCTGTTTTATTCACTAATTTAGCACCTAAAACAATCTAGGACTCTAAGGATTAAATGAGGTAAATGGGGAACCTATTGTGTGCAGGTTAGAAACTCAATAGCTCAAGGAGGGGCCAGGTTCTCATGGCTCAACCTATAATCCCAGCACTTTGGGAGGCCAAGGTGAGGGGATTGCCTGAGTCCGTGGGTTCGAGACCAGCCCGGGCAACTTGGCAAGACCTTGTCTCTACAATAAAAAAAATCAAAAAATTAGCCAGGTGTGGTAGTGCATGCCTGTAGTTCCAGCTACTTGGAAGGCTGAGGCAGAAGGATCGCCTGAGCCCAGCAGGTCGACGCTGTGGTGGCCGTGAGTGTTCCACTGCACTCCAGCCTGGGCGATGGAGTAAGACTCCAACTCAATAAAAAAAAAAAAAACTCAAGAAACTTAGTTGTGAAGATAGTTATTTATAATAGTAATGTAAATACATTGTTTAGATGCCAAAGTTAAATGCAAACAAGATTCCATCATAGACCCTGTCTACAATGAACATGAAATTTGATCAAAGACAATTCCTGAAGAATTAAATGATTCAATAGATATCATAAAGCTTTTAATGATTAATTGCTGGTAAATAAGGAGGATATTACTTTAGACTTAGAGAACTGAGAAGGTTTTCAGAGCATTGCTCAGGTAAGGGAAACAACTTGAATATTTTTGGTAGACAAGTACAAACAAGGAATGCTCATTCATTCACTTGTTCATTTATTCTCTCAATACATTTAAATAAAGCCTCTATCATGTGCCAGACACTGAGCTAGGTGTCAGAGATACCTAGAGGGTAGTCCTTACCCTCCAGAGTCTCATGATTTAGTGAAGGAGAAACATATAAACAAAGCTATAGAAAATCATATTAGAAATCTATGTAAGCATTTTGGGAAAATAGAGGGAATACTTAGCTCTGTCTAGGAAGGTCAGGGAAGGCTTAAAAGAGGATGTGACTCTTAAACTCAGACTTAGAGGCAGAGTAGGAAAAATTCACCAGGCAGATCAGGGTATTTCATGCAAGGGAACTGCATGTATAAAAACACAGTGGCAAGAAAGAACATGGTTTTGACAGTGCAAATAGTTCAGAATGGCAAAAACAAGTAAGTGCATGTGTACATTCAGTGGTATGAAGTTGAGGGAGAGGATGAAAGCTAGAAAGGAAAATAAGAATCAGATTACAAAGGGCTTTAAATGTCATGTCTGAGAAGTTGAATTCGGCAAGTAGATCAGCGTTTCTCAACTCTGAACTCAGGTGGTCCATGGAACAACTGCATCAGTATTATCTAAGGCAGAGATTTTCAAATTGTAGTTTGACAACCACCAGTCATAAAATTAATTTAGTGGGGGAACCCCCTTGTGTCCCCTCTCCCACTGTGGGAGCTTTTCTGTCCTCTCAATAAATCCTGCTTTCTCAAAAATAATTAATTAATTTAGTGGACTGGACAAGCACTAACAAAGGAGGAGAAAAAGAAAGAGAGAAAGAGAAGGAAGGGAGGGAGGGAGGGAGAGAGGGAGGATGGAAAGAAAGAAAGAAAAAGAAAATAGAAAGGAAAGGAATAGAACAGAGAGCACATTGCACGTAGTATGGGTATTGTATAATAAGGGTGTAATGTGTGTGCATGTGTATGTATTGCACCAAGAAATAAAATCTGTCTTACTGTGATTCACAGTCAAATAATTTAGGAAACACTGATGGAGATGCTTGTTAAAATGCAGATTCCTAGGACCCATATCAGTCCTATCAGATCAGTGGGAAAGTGGCCTAAAATTTACATTTTCAAAAAGTACTAAGATATTTCTATGCATTTTTAAATTGAAAATCATTGCTGAAGTTGATTTGGAGTCACTGAGGGGTGAGTGCTTGGATATGATCATATTGGTTTTACAAGGATTTTTTTTTGATGCAGAGTGTATAAAATGCTTGGAGAGAGTTCAACAATAGAGGCAGCAACACAAGTTTAGAGGGTATCAACAATGGTTCCAGTTAGAAATGACATAAGCAATTCCTATAAAGGAGTGAGAAGAATTGAGAGGACTGGATTAAGATGATCAGGATGGGTGAACAAAATAGTTTTTCTGGAATAATTAGGTGTTCATGAAGAGGAGCAGTGGAAGAGAAAATAGGGATGATATGCTGAGCTATATGTAAAATGACATTGAAAACTATATAAAAAGCCACTGCAAGTTTTTAATCACAATAATATGCTAAATAACTGTTCTAAGAAAATTATTCTAGTGGGCAAAAAATACTACAATTCCAATTATGAGATGATGAGTTCCTAAACTAGAGAGACAGCAAAAGATATAGGGGAAGGAATGAAGGCTTAAACAGCAACAGAAAACACAAATACTGTGAAGGATTAACTGGCAGGATTGTTCTTTCCCCAAATCAGTATTCATCTGGGAAGCCTGGTAGAGTTGCTAAGACCACGACCTTAGAGCTAGGCTACCTGTGTTGAAATTCTAGCTATATCACTCACAAGCTATTTGAACTTGAACAAATACTTAACTTTTCTGTGCTTCCGTTTTCTTATTTATAAAATGGAGATAAGAATAGTACCAATCCCATAGGTTGTTATAAGGATTAAATAAAGTCAAATATGTAAAGCACTTACTATCTGCCAGGAATTATTTTAAGTGCTATATAAGTATTTATTAACATCATGCTTGGCTCTGGATTATTGAAAAGGGAAAAAAAAAAAACCCTTCCATAATGGCATCTTCCTTTAATGCCTTTACTGCTGGCATCAGAAAACCTGGGTTTGAATACCATGCCACTTATATTTGCTGCATGACTTAGGCAGTAACATAACAACATAACAAAACAATAACACAAGCTGTGGTATTCTCGTCTGTAAAGCAGTGTCGTCTCAGTGATTAAATAGTGTACATAAACCACCAAATGTTTACCCTCCGACATATAAGAAGTGCTTAATAAATGATAGCTATTATCCATAATCTTCTTATTTTATACTGCATTTAGACTTAGACTGCCTTTTTAATATAAAAGTCTGGCCTTTTAGGAGTTCAAGACCAGCCTGGGCGACATAGTGAGACTCCAATCTCTACAAAATATTTACAGATTAGCTGAGAATGGTGGTGCATGTCTGTAATCCTAGCAACTTGTGAGGTTGAGGATTCCTTGAGCCTAGGAGTTCAAGACTGCAGTGAGCTATGATTGCCACTCCAGTCTGGGTGACAGAGTGAGACTCCGTGCCTAAAAAAAATAAAATAATAAAAAAATTAAATAAAATAAGTTTGGTCTTATAATTTGGCAATGAATCAAAATTATGAGCAAGCATATTCTTGACCCGGTAATTTTGCACTTCCAAAAATTTATCCTTAGGAAACAATCACACAAGAGCTAAAAGGGTATACTCAATGGAGTTTCTTTGTTTGTTTTTGTTTTTTGAGTTGGTTTCTCACTCTCACCCAGGCTGGATACAGTGACATAATTATAGCTCACTGCAGCCTCGACCACCTGGGCTCAGGAAATCCTTCTGGTTCAGCCTGCTGAGTAGCTGGGACTACAGGTGTTGTCATCATGCCCAGATAATTTTTTAAATTTTTTGTAGAGACAAGGTCTCATGATGTTGCCCAGGGTGGTCTCGAACTCCTGGTCTCAAGTGATCCTCCCACCTTGGCCTCCTAAAGTGCTAGAATTATAGGCATCAGCCACTGCACCCAGTTTATATTCCATGGAGTTTCTTAAATAAAATGAAAACAAGTTAAATATACATAAATAAATGATTAAATAAACAAATTAGTCTACCCAAACAACAAAATATTCTGTTAAAAAAACAAAATAGATATGTAAGTATGTATAGACATGAAAAGATGTTTCAGACATATTCCCGAGTGGAAAAACGAAGCAGTAGAATAGCAAGTATATCATGATTCTACATATGATGACACATGTGTAAGGGAAATTCTAGAAACATATACATCAGACTTAGCAGAGTTCTCTGGCAAGTGAGATGGAAGGGGATGAAGGGGACTTTTGCTTTAAGCTTTATACTAAATAGTATGAAGAATAAAACCTAGAGAAAAGAGATACAGATCTTATGGTTCATAAAAACAGTTCTTGTCTGTGAGCATATTCCTCAAATTGCCAACATATCGCTTAAATTATTTTTTTACATACAGAAAAACACAAACCAACAATATAAGAATCTTAAATATAACAAAGAAATTTATTCTTTGAAAATGTTAGTCAGCCAGGTTCGGTGGCTCAGCCTGTAATCCTGCGCTTTTGGGAGGCCGAGGTGAGTGGATTGCCTACACCCGCTGGTTCCAGACCTGCCTGGATAACTTGGCAACATAATGGCAACATAATGTTTGTAGAGACAATAATGTTCGTAGAGACAAAACATTGACTCTACAAACAAATCAAAAAGTTAGCTAAGTGTGGTGGCACATGCCTATAGTTTCAGGTACTCAGGAGGCTGAGGTAAAAGAATCGCCTGAGCCCTGAAAGTTGAGGCTGAGGCAAGCCATTATCATGCCACTGCACTCCAGCCTAGCGATAGAATGAGACCCTGACTTAAAAAAAACAAGGCTAGGTGTGGTGGCTCATACTTGTAATCCTAGCACTTTGGGAAGCTAAGGCGGGAGGACTGCTTGAGCCCAGAAGTTCAAGACCAGCCCAGGAAACATAGCGAGATCTTGTCTCTACAGAAAAATTTAAAAATTAGTCAAGCATAATGGCTCATGCCTGTAGTCTCAGCTACTTGGGAGGCTGAGGCAGAAGGATCACTGAGCCTAGGAGGTCAAGGCTATGGTGGGCCGTAATCGTGCCACTGCACTTCAGCCTGGGTGACAAAGTGAGACTGCAACTCAAACAACAAAATAAAAACAAATAAACCTCCAACAAAAACAGATTCAAAATATAAATAAAAATAACTTACACAGTAAGTCCATATCCAAATAATAGAAATGATCATATAAAACATACCATTGAAAGGATTGATTCCTGCCTTTATTCTTGAAATAATAGCTTCTTTTACTTCTTTTTTCTTCACACATCGAATACCCAAATTTTGAAAACTAGAAGGAAAAAACAAAACTTTTAAAATTGTGTTTTGTATTACACAAGGAATACTGCACAAATCAAGCATAAATCCATACTGAGAAGTCATTGGGCTGTTAGATGAGGTACAAAAACATGAATGTACTTCTGACTGCAATGCTAAAGATGACAAGGTAAAAAAGTAGGGTTATATTTCTGAGATAAGCTGGGCTCGGTGGCTCAGCCTGTAATCCCGTGCTTTGGGAAGCTGAGGTGAGTGGATTGCCTGAGCCCGCGGGTTCGAGACCCACCTGGGCAACTTGATGAGACCTTATCTCTACAATAAATCAAAAAATCAGCCAGGCGTGGTAGTGCATGCCTGTAATTCCGGCTACTCAGAAGGCTGAGGCGGAAGGATCGTCGGAGACCAGCAAGTTGAGGCTGCGGAGGCCGAGAGCGGCCACTGCACTCCAGTCTGGGTGACAAAGTGAGACTCCAACTCAAAAAATAAATAAATAAATAAATTTCTGAGAGAACTGTTAAAAGAAAAATAGCTGGAGCCCAGCAGGTCGAGGCTGCGGTGGCCAAAAGCAGCCACTGCACTCCAGTCTGGGCGACAGAGTGAGACTCCAACTAAAAAAAAAAAAATTTCTGAGAGAACTGTTAAAAGAAAAATAGCTGAAGCCCAGCAGGTTGAGGCTGTGGTGGCCAGGAGCAGCCACTGCACTCCAGTCTGGGCGACAGAGTGAGTGAGACTCCAACTCAAAAAAAAAAAAAAAGAAAAAAGAAAAAAGAAAGAAAAATAGCATATACTGCATCATTTTCATATACTGTGTAATTAAATCTTACTATATGCCTATATCAAATATACCAAAGTAGATATTAACAGGAAAGCAACACTGAACGCTAAAATTTACCTTTCCAGCAAATTCATAATCAAATCAATACAATCTGTATATTTGATAATATAAAGCAAAAGTTATAAAAAGATGCCCCCGGGCTAAAGCCCACAGGTATGTTTCCCAGAGCCCAGAATGTAGTCTACATTTTAAAAATCTGTAGTGATTACTAACATTTAAAAATCAAATAACTGCATATGAACACTTGGATTTCTGGCTTCTCCTAAACATTTAAAGATCTCACAACACTAGGCTGGCATAAAAACAAGGCTGCGGCCACTGCACTCCAGTCTGGGTGACAGAGTGAGACTCCAACTCAAAAAAACAAAAACAAAAACAAAAAAAAAGAAAGAGGTTTATACTAACAATAATATTTAACAAGTTTCAAGCTGTCATTTATGGAAAACTTCTCAATAGCTACAAATATTACTATTTGCATATGTGTAGTATAGATGATGGTGGAGGGAACTCCCCTGCCACCAGTCATACTTGTTCCCACATGGAAAAACCATGACATCAGTAAAGTTGGGTGGGTGTGAATGAGGAAGCAAAACTCAATGATAATAACATTACTATTTGTTCAAACTTCACATGGTATTTGCAACCAGAGGCTGCTTCATTTGTCTCTCTCCATGTTTATGCTGTCTTATGTTCATGCTCTTCACATTCACCACACTGGTGACTTTGTTAGCACCTAAAACATCTTTGACATTTCCTTTCTCTGCCTCCAATAACTAAAAGTTAAATCTTAAATTCTTTCTTGAAATCCTGCAACTGTAATTCTCTTCCTCAGAAGTATTCTATTTCTTTGAAAGAGTCTCAGTTTGGTTCTTATTTTTGTTTGTTTTTTACAAAAAATTGTAACAAAATTCCTCATTTTAATATATTTATATGCTACTTGATTTTATTTCATCTGAATAATCATATTTGGCTGCTACTCACAGAACATTAGAAGTAGTAGAGGTTTTGAAGTTCTTACATGAGGACCAAGGATTATAGAGATTGTCTCAATCAATTATTCATTCATTCACTCATTCATTCAGTCAGTCAACAAGTTTTGGGGTTTCTACTATGTGCCAAAAACTCTGGAAAGTAATGAGAACATACAATCTCTTCCTTTGTGGAGCTTACAGTATAGTACAGAAGTTGGCAAACTGTGTCTGTAACAAATCCAGCCCTCTGTTTTTGCAAATAAAGTTTTATTGGAACACAGTTAAACTGATTTGTTTACATACTGTCTATGGCTACTTTCATGCTACAACAGCAAAGTTGAACTACAGAACCATATGACCTGTAAAACTTAAAATAAATACTGCCTAGCCCTTTACAGTAAAAGTTCGCCAACCTCTGGTCTAGTGAAGCAAACAGATGTTAAATAATCACATGCACAAAAATGCTAAACTGAAATCATGACAAATTTTATGAAGGAGATATACACTATGTCATAGGAGCCTATGATGAAATAGAGAGGAAAGATACTTCCAGGCAAAAGGAACAGACCATGCAGAGGCCCCTACAGAAGAGCACAACGAGTAGAGGAAACTAAAGGAAAGCTTTTGTGATGGAGAGTAGGAATCAAGGGAAGCACAGTATAATAGACAGTTAGAAATACAGGTGGGTCCTGTAGGCCACAGAAGGAATACTGTCCTTATCTCAAGAGTAACATAAAACCATTAAGATGTTTTAAGCAGAGAAGTGATAATTCAGTTTGTATTTTAATAAATCATTGGCAATGAGACTCCAACTCAAAAAAAAAAAAATTTGTGCCAGGCTCGGTGGCTCAGTCTGTAATCCCAGCACTTTGGGAGGCCAAAGTGAGTGGATTGCGTGAGCCTGGGGGTTTGATACCTGCCTGGGCAACTTGGTGAGACCTCATCTCTACAATAAATAAAACATTAGCCGGGCGTGGTAGCACATGCCTGTAGTTCCAGTTACTTGCAAGGCGGAGGTGGAAGGATCGCCAGAGTCCAGCAGGTCGAGACTGCAGTAGCCAGAAGCAGCCACTGCTCTCTAGACTGGGTGACAGAGTGAGACTCCAACTCAATAAATAAATAAATAAATAAATTACTGGCTAGGGTGAAGGAAGGGAAGAGATACAAAAAGAGTTGACATATGACAAATTAGGAGGCTATTCTAGCAGCCCAAATTTAGACTATAGTAGTAGTTGGTGGTGACGGATTTCACTGAGTGAAGTAAATAAACTCAAGAGCAATTTAGGAGGTACCTGTTAGTAGATTTAACGTGTACACCTGAGTGAGAAATGTCAGATGATACCTATGGGATTTGTATAACAACCATTAAAACAAGGCACATTGGAAGACCAATTTTGACGGAAAAAGGTATGATCATGGTAAGAGCATGGCTTGGGGCATATTCTACTTGAGGTGCCTTTTTTTTTTTTTTGAGTTGGAGTCTCACTCTGTCGCCCAGACTGGAGTGCAGTGGCCGCTCCCGACCACCGCAGCCTTGGCCTGCTGGGCTCCGGCGATCCTTCTACCTCAGCCTTCCAAGTAGCTGGAACTATAGGCGTGTGCTGTCACGCCCGGCTAGTTTTTTGATTTTATTGTAGAGATGAGGTCTCACCAAGTTGCCCAGGCGGGTCTTGAACCCGCAGGCTCAGGCAATCCACTCACCTCAGCCTCCCAAAGGCGCGGGATTACAGGCTGAGTCACCGAGCCTGGCCTTTTTTTTTTTTTTTTTTTTTTTAAGCGACAAGGTTTTGCTGTTTCCCAGGATGGACTCAAATTCCTCGGTCAAGCTATCCTTCTGCCTTAGCCTCCCAAGTAGCTGAGACTATAGGCATGTGCCATTGCACCCAGCCATTTGAGGTCTTTTGAGGCATTTAAGAGAATATATCAAGAAGGTGATCAGACTAGACACCATTTCCCACTGAAAAGAACAACAGATCCTTGGAAAAAATTGATGACTGCAGGGTTGGGGTAAGCAAAGTTAAGTTTTGACCACTTTGTTGTGTGAGAAAGTTAAAAAGTGCTCAAAGGATGGGGACATATTAAAGGACACAGAAGACAGTTTGAAGAGGCTTGTATTGGTCAAATTTGGGTCAACTTGGAAATCAAAGTAATCCTAGTAAGTACTATATAACACATTAAATATAAGAATCCACTAGTTCACAGTGATAATTTTTAAATGGAGAAGGGGAAGAAGGGAAAGTTCTTCTATATAATAGAATGCCAATTAATACCAGCAGGAATGGAAAACACTGATATTACATGTCTCCTGAAGGAATATTTTGAGAATGATATAGCATCACCTCTGTAAAGTTCTTGTCCAAAACGTTCGTTAACTTGAAAATATTATCGCATTAAATATAATGCTAAATATAATGTGTGATCCATAATGGAATCCTGAGTTGGGGGAGAGATCAAACAGTCACACAGGGCATTGAGACAATATTTGAGGTAGTTCAAATACTGTCTACAACTAAGAAAGAAGGAACAGCTAGAAAAGTAGAAAATAAAACAAAAGTTTGTTCTCAAAGAAATCAAGGGATGAAAATGTTTCAATGAGTAGTCAATAGACTAAAATGCTGTTGGGAAGTCAAGTAATATAGACAAATATTTGCCAAGTGTATATTACTAGATATTTTTTGCTTTGTGTTGTTATCGTAAAAGGAACATTTTAAAAGCATTTTTTTCTGAATAGTTATTGCTAATATATAAGGAGGCTACTAACCTTTTTTCTGTTGTAATTAGTTTCATTTCCCCCCAAAGCAACACATGTGCATTACAATAATGAATTCTAAAATAAAGATAAATTCAAAGAAAAACATAAAACCCCACAATCTTACCTACCCAGAGGTAACTATCATTAATACTTTAGTATATAAACTGCTATGTATATGTATAAACTTATTTTGAATAAAAATAAGATTATTTTTCACATATTGCTTCAAAACCCATTTTATTTATCTAACACATTGTAATTATCTTTAAAGACCAATAGACGGTCGTGCATGATGGCTCATGCCAATAATCCCAGTACTTTGGGAGCGGAGGTGAGAGGATTGCCTGAGCCCACGGGTTTGAGACCAGCCTAGGCAACTTGAAGAGACCTCATTTCTACAATAAATCAAAAGTTAGCTGGGTATGGTGGCACGCGCCTATAGTTCCAGCTACTTGGAAGGCTGAGGTGGAAGGATCGCCTGAGCCCAGCAGGTCAAGGCTGTGGTGGCTGTGAGCATGCCACTGTAGCCCAGTCTGGACAACAGAGTAAGACTCCAACTAAAAAAATAAAATAAAATAAAAAGGCCAACAGACATATTTGTAATGTTACTTTTAAGGCTATACAGGAGTACTGCATTGATGTACCAATTTATTTAATTAATCCCCTTTGTTTATTATTTGGATTGCGTCTAACCTTTTTCCATTACAAACAGAGCTATAATGAACAGTATTATAGTTAAATATCTGAACATGCTTAATTATTTCCTAAGGATAAATTCCTAGAAGTGGAAATACTGGTTCAAGAGGCACTCATATTTTTTAGGCTTTTGCTAGGTAGTTGCTAAACTGCCTACCAGAGATTTTTTTTTTTTGAGTTGGAGTCTCACTCTGTCGCCCAGACTGGAGTGCAGTGGCCACTCCCGGCCACCGCAGCCTCGAACTGCTGGGCTCCGGCGATCCTTCCGCCTCAGCCTTCCAAGTAGCCGGAATTACAGGCATGCGCTACCACGCCCGGCTGATTTTTTGATTTATTGTAGAGATGAGGTCTCGCTGCCCAGGCGGGTCTCACACCCGCGGGCTCAGGCAATCCACTCACCTCAGCCTCCCAAAGGCGCGGGATTACAGGTTGAGCCACTGAGCCGGGCTCAGAAAGATTTCAATAATTCACACTCTCCCTAATATGATGAACAGGCCCATCTTCTGGTAGCCTCACGAACATGAAGTGTTACATAACTTTTTAATCTAGGAACTATTGTTGTATGTTAATTTTACGACCTGCTTCTTTCTAAATAATGATTTTAGAGTTTTCCCGTTGATTTTCTCACATCTAGCAATTTTTAAGTCAACTATAAATGAAAAGACAGAGTAAATATTTATTTCATAAATTGCTCATGTTAGAAAATAAAATCATGGCATAAAATAAGTTTATGCTTACTTTTAGTAATGATAAAGAAGTATTCCTGCTAACAATCATAAGCTGTGACTACTAATGAAGAATGAAAGAGTAGTTCTAATGCAAATGGTAAGAAAATTTATATGTACACTATAGCAAATAGAAATAGAATGAGAAAATAATTTATTCTGCTAAAAAGTAATAGATGGCTATGGATAGGAAAGAGAGCACTCTATGCATATCTCACTCCTAAAGATACCTGTGACTGTGTACTTACAATAAAGGTCTGCGTTCTTGTCCAAATTCTGCTTCATAGTAACCATCTCTGCAGTCTTTTCCAACTAAATCATGAGGATGAGGTTTGTATGGGTCATTTTTTGTTACTAATGTAATTCTCACTTTTCCTTTTCCATAATAGTTCATAATCTGAGAAAGGGGGCAAATTAAATATATGGTCCATAAATATATCTAATTATGAATTGATCTACTAAATTAAAGTTCAATTTATATAATATAATTAGCACTGAATAAATAAAGTCCAATTGACCAGCAACAGCAGTTTAGATGCAACTGTCCAAAAAACACCAGTAGAGAAGAACTTACCTCTTAGTTCCTTGACATATTATTTTCTGCCCTAACTTCAATTGGTCATATCATCTTACTGTTTATTTTCCTTTTAAAACAAGTAAAATTATATCCACATTTTATCACACAACATAATGAAATACTTAGATTTTATGTCATTGAATGCCCTGATCTTAGATGCACTATCAAATCTTAAACATCCCTTGAATATACATGTAAGTCACACTGGAAATAATAACACACCAATGTGATCATTTTACAAAATATGTGACATTTCATTTTGCAAAAATATTTGTTAATCGTTAAGCATATTCCAAATGTTCACTGTAGAGTAGGCAATAAACCAAGTTGAGTTTAACAAGATTAAATTTCACACAGAAAGTACTTCTAGAACACGAAGCGTAAAGAGAACAAGAAAGGAGGACACTGAGATGGGAGGCAACTCATGCTTAGTTGAAAGCCAGAAAATTTGCAAGAAGAAAGCAGGTAACATAAAAACCAGCATACTTCCAGGGAGCAAGATAGTTAAGTGAGAATAGGTGGTTTACCAGATAAGAGGCACTAAAACCCATAATTATGAATTTGAATATAATTTGAATAGTAACCAGGTAGTATTTATTGCCTTTCTGGATGAAGGAGAAGACTAGCCCAAGACTATAAGAAAGGCTGATACAGAAATCAAGCTATAAAGTGTTTAGGACCTACTAGATGGCGAAATTACAGATCTTAGAAATATTTTAGAGACATATAGAATGAATTATGGAAAAGAGTTAAAAATGACTCAAAAATTGGAACAGAGTTCTTTATTTACTTTTTATTAGCATCTTACCCATTTAATATTGAAATAAAAGGACTAAACCCGAATACATACTACTGCCAAAACTGTGGTAAAAATAGGAATTCAATATATAATTTTGCTATGGGTTTATTCTATAATTGAGCAATTCCCTTTAAGTCCAAAAGAATAAATAATCTAATTATAAAACACGAAATTAAGATCTGTTGCTAAAAGACTAAGTAAAATCTCAAAATCTACTTTGGAATTAAGGTTTTTAATTGGCATTTAAAGGATAAAAAATTCATTGAAAGTCAAATAAAAATAGTTTATAAATATTAAATATATAGTAGATCTTATAACTCTAACTATAGTATATTTGCTGAAGTCACTTTTTTTTTTGAGTCAGAGTCTCACTCTGTTGCCCAGGCTGGAGTGTAGTGGCACGTTCACAGTCACCGTAGCCTTGACCGGCTGGTCTCAGGCAATCCTTCTACCTCAGCCTTCCAAATAGCTGGAACTACAGGCATGTGTCACCACGTCTGGCTAATTTTTTGATTTATTGTAGAGACAAGGTCTTGCCAAGTTAGTCAGGCTGGTCTCAAACCCCTGGGCTCAGGCAATCCTCTCACCTCCGTCTCTCAAAAAGTGCTGAGATTACAGGCATGAGCCATGATGCACAGTTGAAGTCATTTTTTTATCAAAAGCTTTTCAAAATTTATGCTAATGTGAAAAAACTATATTTAAAAGTGGTATTTCAAATCAGTCAATGACTCAGAGTATCAGAGACAGGCAATAAAGGTAAGAAAAAAGAATAAAAAATGTTCTTTTCCATAGCTCCTAAACTAGCCAAGCAATTGTAGTAAGAATTCTGATTGAGTTTTAAAGTCCATGTTTAATCTACAGAATAATATCGTTCACCTCTGTAAGGAGAGAATGCTTTTTTCCTCATTAGCTGTGTGTTCCATGAAAGGGAAAAAGACTCAAAGCTGCTAGTGCACACTGAGCACTGTGATTCACTCTACTTACATTAATATATAAACGCCATATAACTATCTGCAGAGAAGACTTCATATTACATTGAAGAAATGTTTCCAGACATCCATCTAACATAGATGAATTAAAAGGAAAAGAGGGGAGAAAGGAAAAAGAAAAGACTGTGGAGATGACTGTGAAGAAACTTGCCCTTTAAAAGAACTGCTACAGCTAAAATATGAAGCAACTAAAAGCAAGATAGACACAGGAGAAGGGTCTATTACCTGGATAGACGGGTATGTTCGGTTGTTGTCTGTGCTGTGCTCCCCGGGAATGCTGCCAGCTGATCGCCCTTCACATTTGTATCTAAAGCGCATTCCCCTTTGCCTGGGTTGTTCAATTATCTCTATATATGGGTTATACCCACCTGAAAATTTTTTTAAAAAGGAGTAGGGCAGTGAGTACAGCAATAATCATGGATTTTAACAATTTTGTTTTTTCAGAACAGCAGACTAAAAAATTTTTTTCTCCCAGTATTAAATAACAAGTTTGAAAGGTTATCTCAGAGAGACTAGGTGGGTAACACACCTTTCTTTCCCATTCAAATTGAGTTCCTTGTAGTGTTATTACGAGTCATTCAAATCATATTAGTTGGTTAGCACTTTACAGCTTAATATTTACAGTTAATACCAGTATGAAGTTTTGAGATAACCACTTCAGAGATATCCACTCCCACATGACACCAAGCAGAAGGGTTTCCCCCAAGATTCCCTCAGAAAGGCGAAGTATTGAGCAGCACAATATTATACTCCAAAAGTGAGTGAAATGTATGTAACTGCTTGATTTTACATTAGACTCTTAATAGACTCTTATTAAAAATAAAAATGCATTTGAATCATTGCTGAAGAATATTAAAGGACTTATACATAGTATAGCTAAACAAACTTGAGAAGGGACTTTAGACTCAAAAGAATGTTGAATCAGTCCCATGTAAACCATTTCTAGTGTAAGAAACAATAGAGAAAAAAATAATTATTTACTTTCTATAACAAATATAATTCAAAATATGCTTCATCAGAATGAATTACTGATGCATATAACATGGATGATGTTGAAAATTAGTATACCAAGTAAAAGAAGTTAGACCAGAAGAGCACATACTATATGGTTCCATTTATAGGACACTCTAGAATATGTAAACTAATCTATAATGAAAGAAAGCAGATCACTGGGTGCCTAAATATAGGGATATGGGGTAGATGGGCAAGTCCCAGATGATGGATATGTTAATTATCTGGATTGTGGTGATGATTCTAAGGTTGTATATATGTGCCAAAATTTATCAAATTACAAACTTTAGACATGTGCAATTTGTTGTACATTAATTATATTCAACAAAGCTGATTAAAACACAGGCACTTTTACCCTTTTTGATTATCCAAACTGTGGAAACAAAAAGTTCAATGAGGACATTCAACTGTGCTTACAAGTAGAATAGTTAATAATGAGTTTTTATTTCAGGGAGTGAAGATTTTTTCATTTAAAAAAAAGTTTCCCTCAATCAGTTAAATGATTTCTAAATTCCCACAATTACATATCTATTTCACTGACTAAGGCTTATCCTGTTAGAATGCAAGCAATATTCAGAAAGGGTAACACAGTGGGCCTTATCAGAGTAATATGGGGAAGAGGCCTTTAAAATTCTACTCAGTCACTTCTTAACAGTAAGATCATAGAAATGTTATTAAAGTTAAAATCTCTTAGTTTCCTCCTTTGTAAGATGGAGATATTAATAATAGCACCTATCTCATAGGGTTGTTAAGATTACATGTGCTAAATTCTTACCAAGTATCACACAGATACACTTAATAAATGGTATCTATTATTACTTCAGATACTTTCTTGAAACCAACGATTTAGTGATACCATGATAATATCACAACTGCTACTCTAAAGAAACTTACAGAACATAAGGCAAAATAAATAAATAAATAAATTATTAGACTACAGAAGGAAAGAGAACACTAACAAAATTCTGCAGAAAAAGGATAACAAGAGTCAGGAATACCTAACTCTGTCACAGGGGGAAAAAAAGAGTTAATGAAGCAAAAAAGTGAGAGATTGATGAGGAGGAAGGAAGAAAGGTAGAAATTCCAGGGAAAAGAGAACAGTGTGTCAGGAGAAATCGCCAATGTCAAGTGGAATACACTTCTACTCTTAGAAAGAGAACCAAAGTCAGAGCACACTTGGTGACGTGGATTTCATTTTATATGTGATTAAGCCAATGAATGTTTTGATGCAAGGAAATCATACAATCAGATTGGCATTTTACAGTAAGAATTCTAGTTGCAGTGGCCAGACTGAAAAGAGAAAAGAAAGCAAGGTGATCAGTTCAGAGACTACTATAAAAATGTGAGCAATGATGAGAGTATGTCTGAAATATGGCAGTGATAATAGGAATGAAGGATTATATAAAAGATGAAACTGACAGTACTTGGTGCCTGCATATTAGGTTTAAGATAAAGAATCACTGATGGCTCAGAAATTAAAGAATCATTGGTGGCTCCATGATTTCTACTTTGGGTTACTGAATAAAGCAATACTATTACCTTTAATTTTATTCTGTTTGGTTCAGATTCATTGCGTTTGAACCTACTAGCTACTTGTTTATTCAAAAGAGCGAGGAAAATTGTCTTTAGCCCAATCAAGTTCATAACACTTATTTCAATTTTACTGAAAAACATAGGCATGCAGATGATAATTTCATAATTTATATATCCTTATATATTTCAATATTTCAAATTCATATTTCAATTTCAAATATTTCACATCCTTATATATACTTGTGGAAGTATTTATAAAAATGCATATTTCCCTCTCAAAAACAATTAAAATCAACAGTAGTTTAAAAGTGACATCTTAAATAAGTTATGTGGTTGAACTAAAGGTCAAATAAATCCCTGCCCACTACTTATTTAAAGGTGTCTTGGTGGGAAATGATATAGAATGACATCATTAAGGGTACATGGTTAACTTTAGGAGGGCACTGTGAATAGAAATGCCAGGCCCATAGTGGGCATTCAAAGTGAGCATTCATATATTTCACTGGTTACATGACACTTGTTTAAACCAGATAGTGTGTTTTAACAGTACACTGCAATATTCGACATTAACTCAGCTGGAAACGAACTCCCCCTCCTATAAACTATCACAGTAGTAATTACTCTAAATGACTATAATTTAGGGAAGACTCACTGTCTTATTTCTTTTGAAATAAAGCTACTTGTTTTATTTCTTCAAGCTACTTCAAAGTAGAAACTTACTCATCATTGCCCATACACAGATATTCAGTAAATATCTGTTGAATTAATAACTAAAAATCTAAAGATCTTTTGTCTAGAGAAATTATTCAAACATTAAAGAACCATATTAATGATTAAGCAGATTTTCCTTATTAGAGTCTACTATTAAGGAAAATAAAAAAATTCTTTGTAGGTACTAGAAGAAGGTACTACACCTTCATACTTCTTAATACCCATTCATATTCTGATTTATCTGTGTTTATGATTTTAAAACTTCCCAACTGTAAGTAATTTATGTCAGGCATTAGTATAAGGCACTAGTTATTTCTTTCCTCAGTGCTGAGCTTTGTAGTGCCATTCTTCTTGAAGATAAAGAGTGCTGAAATATCATCATCTATGGAGTAGAAGAGGATAAAATATAAATCAGGAAAGTGTAGAGAAAATCAGTGCTCAACTAAGATTACTGCAAACCACTACAGTTTTGGAAAAACACCGCAATGTATCCCATATTGGTTCTAAACAAGTTGATTCCTGTATTCTTCTTTAACCAATACTATGCAAAGCTGGCACTGATCCCTATAATTTGGACAGTATTATAAAATATTAATATAGATCACAATACCACTGTTATTTGACACGGTTTCAGATGCAGCCAAAATGTTTGCAAGATACATTATATTCTTATTTGCACTTAGGCAAAAAAGTGCTATTTTAAAACACAGTATCTTTCTAAAAGTATGAGATTTTAAGATTAAAAAAAGAAATTACATTGAAATAAAAGTTTAAAATGGATCATAAATTGTCAGAAATATATCATTAATGAAAATCTTATTGCCAGAATTCGGAACCAGCTTATTAAGTGTACAGTGAACAAATATTAATTATTATAATTATAACACCATTTTAAAGCACCTTTATATACATTTCTCATTTGATTTCGTTAACTTTACTTTCCATTAAAAAAACCCAAAAATTATTATTCTGTTTTACAGATGAGAAAACTAAAGTTTAAAATTACATGAAGTTATAAGAAAAAAATTATGAATGACATTAGCTAATTAAAAGAAGCATAAAAGTAGCTGGAGGTAAAGTCACAATTACTGACACTATATAACCTGCAATCTAAAAGAATAAAACAATGCATCTTGGTACAGCCAGTGAGTATTTCGATCCAATGAAATCCTTAGAACAGAGTTCAGTCTGGGGTGTACATCAGAAACACCTAAGTAGCTTTTTCAAGACATACATGTCCTGATCCCACCAGAGATCTAAAAAGAAACTGAAATCTTCAAGGGTAAAGCCAACACATGTTTTTGAAAAAGCCTTCCAAGCAAATCTATCACACTCCAGAAACCATTGCTCTAAAACATAAAGAAGTGGAAACAATGCACACATCCAAAACTTTAGGTACAAGTATGGACTGAGTCATGGATAAAATGAAGAAAAACCATTCTGGCTACTTGTAACTTCTCTTTCTCTTGCACTCATGAAAGCAGCTTACTCAAATGCAAGCAAGAGAAAGACATTACATCTCTAACAGAAGTCCTGGCAACAGGCGCTTTTTTGACTTCGCTTGAGACAAAAAGAAGCTAGCGGAGCTAACAATAAATTCTTTTCCAAATTCACCTCTACTCAATTTGGAGAAAAGTAAAATAAGATCTGTTCTTTTTTCCTCAAACTAGGCCTATCATCGGCTAAAGTCTATTCTAGTATATCAGGCTGACTTTTAACTAAGCCTTAAGAATCCAAGTAAGAAAATTTAAAGATGAGTATTCAAATGATGCACTCACCACAGGGTATATTTTAAGTTTTAAAAATGTAAAAGATTTTGGCCGTAGGAATTCCACTTTCATGGGGGGAAAAGAGTCAAGCCTTGAAAACACTTTTTTACATGCCAGGATAAACAAGTTGAGAAATTTAAAAATGTGTCCTACGTGGACAGGCATTAAAAACAAATGGCAAGACCGACTAAATCATCTATCTCTGTTTTAAATATAAAAATACAGGAGGCCCAGATAAATATGAATTTCAGATAAATAAATTGTTTTAGTATAAGTATATACCATGCAATATTTGGGTTATGTGCCTACAAGCACAATCATTTACAGAGAACGCAGATGAGACAAAGTTGGAACAAAAGGGAAGTCTGAGTTCCTTAAATTGTATTTGACAAAGATACTTCGAACACCCTAGATGTTTCT